CTCTGCCACCACACAGGGATCGCCGGGTGTCGGAATGCGGGGACCACCAGGACAGGACGGGCCTCCGGGCTTGAAGGTAACACCTGTCCCCATGTCACCCTGTCTCTCACCGTGTCCCTAGTGCCTACATGCTCCCCCAGCCTGGCTGGCTAAGGGAGAAGCATGCTCCCAAGGGGCTGTTTTCACAGGCACCATCTTTTTCCTCTCTGCTCCAGGGTGACATTGGCTTGCCAGGACCACCGGGACCCCCAGGCTTAGCAGGCATTGCTGGGGCACCGGGACAACCCGGCCTGAGAGGGGACAATGGGCAGCCTGGCCCCCCGGGTCCCCCAGGAGAGAGGGTAAAGGCTACGGCCAGTGCTCACCTTTGCTGGTCTGGGTGACTCCAGACCTTCAGGCAGCACCAGTGGGGCCCCTGCAAGCCCCACTGACTGCTGGACGTGGTCCCTGCCTGCTCACCGGTATTTCCCTGCCAGGGTTTGATCGGCTTTCCCGGGAGAGATGGTACCTCTGGACCACCAGGACCTGTGGGGCCCCCAGGGCCGGCTGTGAGTATGGGGCTCCGGGGCCGCAGCATCCCTGGGGGGTGCAGGCTCTGTCCTGGCTCCCACACCAGCGCGGGAAGGGTGATGGGGACCCACCCTGCACCTTCCCGGACCCAGACCCTCCCGGGAGCCACTGTGGAGCCCCAGGGATGCTTTGCAGGGTGCCTGGTATCACCCTTCTGTGGCTTGCTCACCCCTCTCCTTTCTTTTAGGGCATACAAGGGGCCTCTGGCCTGAAGGGTGACAAGGTAGGGTGGGGGCAGCCCTATAGCACGAGGGGTGTGGGGCTGCTCCTCTTATGGGGTGTCCCTGCTGCTGCCAACCCCTGGGTGATGCTGAAACCACTCTAGATGGTGGCACATGGCAGCCTGCTCTGTGCCGGGCATGCAGGGCAGCATCAGGGGCCATGGAGTGTCCCCCAGCATGGGGGGAGACATGGCATGGCTGGCAGGAGTGGTGGGGAGCAAGGACCGGGAC